ATTTTAACTGTGAGCTCCCCAGAGTCACCTGTTGGGGGGAGATGGGTGACATACAAATTTAATAATAAATAAAGGCAAAAAATGGTTGGGGTTTAGAAAAGTTCATTATGGAGCAACCAACAAGAGACCTTTGATTTAATCCAGAGTTGGGCAACCACTTTCATTGCCCCTCACTGATCATGATTGTTGGAAATCAATAGCAACACTTTCTACTATTTTGACAAAGGGAAAAACAAACAAACAGACAAACATGAGATTTTAGCATTAAGTCCTAAAACAGCCAAAGACCCAGGGGACTAAAAGGAAATTTTTAGCATTACCTATTCTATCATGAGGTGACAACAAGTTTGTATCACTGCCCTACCTACCCTTAGCTTCTGCAGCCTGCAAAAATTAACTACCAAGAGAATTCCCATCCAAATTTAATCAGAAATATGGCCCATTTCTGACTTAGGGAATTTATTTTGCCCTTACTGTACATACTGCTTGCTACAGCTATTATCATTTATCTTTTAGCCCACACAGTTCATTAATATAGTACAAAAAGAACTTCGATATTTTGTCACAGTTCAAAAAGCAATCTTGAATTGGTTGCCTATTGCTTTAGGATTTCTTTTGCACTGTGATTTAACTACTGACTATCTAATCAGGTTTATACTGATTAGCAGTGCAACCTTACACATGTCTACTCAAAAGTGTGCCCATTTGGATTCAAACGAATTTATTTCCAGATGTGTAAGAGATTGCAATCCAAATTACATGTAGAAAGGGTCATGAAGTTATCATCTAAACCACATGCAGTTTATGTTCTGCACTATGCTTTAATTGTCTATATGTACAAAGTTGAAGAATTAAAACCAGAAAAAATGGTCAACAGTTTTGAATCATGTTGAAGTAATTCAAATCTTATGCAAAATAGGATGGAGAAAATATTGTATCCAGAGATGCTTGACTTCAGATTAATACAAGCCAAATCAAAGGCACCATAGGATATGTCAACCAATCCTCTCTAACTTGCTGTTTGCTTGTGAGTATTTTCAGTCTTGATTTGGGAAAAGGTAGCAAGCAGAGGATAGCTCATACTATAAACTTAAATACAGTTATTAATAAAGTTATTCGGAGTTGTGATGATAGAAATATAAATTATAAACCTGACAATGGATAAATTAGTGATCTGTTTCTTCCTACATATTCTGAGTCCGAAAACCATCTTCAGAGTCCCTATCTCCCAGTACTTTCCCTTGTGCAAGTATGGCATTGCACTTCTTTTCCTCAAGCTTACAACTTTCCCAATCTCTTTATTGGTAACTTTTTATTTACTTAGTAGTACCTTTGCAGAGACAGCCAGTCTGGTGTAGTGGTTATGGCATCAGGCTAGAAACTGGGAGACTGGGAGTTCTAGTCCTGCTTTGGCACAAAGCCACCTGAGTGAACTTGGGCCAGTTACTCTCTCTCAGCCCTAGGAATGAGGCACTGGCAAACCAATTCTGAAATCTTGCCAATAAAACTGCAGAGACTAGTCTAGGAAGTTGCCAGGAGTCAAAAACTGGCTTGAAGTTACCAAAAAACAAAACAAAACAAAACTGCTGTCTCATTATTTTCTTTTCTTGCAGTCATAATGGTTTTTATTGCTTGTACGCTTTTATGTTATGCTGCTTTTTTACTTAAATTCTTAGATACAAGTTTTAAAATACTATGTTTTAATTTATTACAAACATATATTTCAGATCTCAGGACACAAATCTACCAAAATGGCTTACAAATTGTTCTTGTAAGTCAATCCTCCAAAAATAAATATTTTAAAAATAATATTTAAAAAATTAGAAGTATATACTTAGAGAATCTACTTGATCGTTTCCATTTTCGGGTGATTGCCATCACCAGTTTAAGGACAAAATCAGTATCTGTACAGAAAGTTTGGCAAGTTTAATATTCTACATTATACTACTTCAAAATTCTTTTCAGTTCAGAGCCTGTTTAACTGTTGTAGGAATACATAATCATCTGAAAGAAGGGAAACACTGTATTTTACCCACCTGCTCCAAATCACCTTCACTGCCTTTCCTTCTCTCTGAGATGTTTTGATGTGGTAGGATGAAGAGCTCAGCAGAGGTGGGCAAGCCAGGGAAAACTGCCACAAGGATTTGTTCCTTGGGGATCCCAGTCACCTAAGCAAAGGGAATAAAATGAAAACTCTTCAGTACACAGTATACCCTTAGTTTGTAAGTCATATAATTCTCAACAAACTCTAAACAATGGCAGAAAAAAATGGGGTTGTCTCCCATTGCCCAAAGGAACTGGTGTTTGGGAGCCAAAGTATACATCTAGAGTATTTATGGAGTATAAACCTTGCCTAAAAGCAGTCTTGTTTGTACATCTGAAACTGATTTCAGAAGTCCTTAAGTAATGGTGCAGTTTTATGGTCAGTGATGTGAATAATTTTGTGACTTTACTACATGATCTTCTTGGAGGAACTGGTGTGTACTACAAGCATGTTAAGTTAGGAGGACAGAATAGCAACTTAATGTTCCTTAACTAAGAAATGCTAAGGGTACCAAATACACCCCCCTTTTGGGAAAAACTGCATGCAAATGGTCTAGAAAAGGGGACAAAAATTGATGAAAAAGGGGACATGTTCCTATTGCAAATTGCACGCACAAATTAATAATGAAGTGGAAGTATGAAGTCACAAATTGTTCAAGAAGTCAGTCATATTTTATTGCCACACATCTTTCCAAACCCATGCTAAGGATGAATCTGCCCAAATCGCCTTATAGAATGCTTATGGCTGTGGAAGCCTTTGAAGAATGTACCATCCAGACTACATGACAAGGAAAATATTTGAAAGCTTTATTTTTTTAATGTACAAGGATTTGTTTCTAGTAAAGCAATGTTATCTGCCCCTGCTTATTCTCAGTGTGTATATTTATTTTGCTAGAAGAGGACAAACTCAGATAAATGGTCTTTCTGATATATCTTAACACTTGATACAACAGGGGAAAGCATAACAATATATGCTTTTAGATTTTTTTTAAAAAAAATACTCCCTATTTATTGTAGCAATAGAATTGTTTTCATTAATTCAATGAGTTATGAAAGAAAACATTTAATGTAATAGCTCTACATATAATAAATCTCTAAAATAGAATTAAAAAAAACATGTCTATAAAATATGAACTACTTGAGTTGATCTATTTACAGATACATGTGTATTGAATACTCTTCTTTCATCTTATTTGGAATAAATTGAATCAATAATTTAAAGTGTATCTGGCAGATGTTATAAATTATTCTGAATTAGTGAATATTCTAGATCCCATTTTAGATTAAATAATGTTATTAAAATGTAATGGGCCTATAACATTCTCTGTAGTGTACCTGAAAAATGTAGCCTTCTTTCCAGCTTTGGATCTGATAAAGCTATTTCAGTCACACATAATTATCTTCTTGAAGCTGAACTTAGGAGTCCAAACAATACTAGCATCTTGCTAGAGTCACGGTGGTTTCCAAGGTCTGAAACTGTGTAATAGCAATTCCTTAAAACTCTTTCCAAGTTTAGAAAAAGTGGTAGGAGAGAATAAGATAGTCCAAGAAAATTGGAAGACCATACTAGATCATTTTGTGATTAGCTCAAAATCTTAAGTAACCAGGACTAATCCAAACTGAACTGGAAGAGACAGGGAATTCCATTTATACATCTCAACCCCTTCTGTCTTGTTTTCTCTCTGTGTTCCTCTCTCACACACACACAAGATATGGTTTATTCTAAAGACAGAATGACCTGATACTCACTAAATGGAATCCTAATTGTTATCCATGCAAAATCCTTCTGCTTTTTAAAAATAGTGATCAAAATGCATGGCTTCAGCTATATATAACTATTAAAACTCCATTTCCACAGAGAGGGTACAATTTTTCACAAAGGTGTTTATTGACCGCAAAAATCAGTATTCTCTTAAAAGGGAATATGATCATAAGCTATCTTTAATAAAAGTAGAATTAATAATTTGTCACTGTCTCTTTTTATTTTGATTATCTAATTCTCCTAAGACAGGAATTTTCTAGTATAGCTTCAGATTGTACATGGCAATTATATTTCAGTCTGTTTTATGTTTTAGTGTGATTGTCAGTCTTTTTGTAGTTTACATGTACCACGTTGCATAAAAAAGAAGTGTCAGCTGGGTTTAAGGATCACACTGAAGAAGTTTGAAACAATAATAGCTTTGATTTCAGCCATAGAAGTCAACTACTAACATCTTTCTCCTGCTCAGCTCATAACTAGCTGCTCAAGTTTTGAAAGGGGGAGGAAAGAATAGAGT